TGAACTCGGGCCGTGGAGGAAGGGGAGACAAAGGGAGGACCGATTAGATGCAGAGGAGGCAGAAGGTCAATGAGTCAAAGATGACTTCTCTGTTTCTGGCTGGGGCATCGAGGTGGATGGTGGGGCCAGCAATGCAAAGACAGAATACAGGAGAAACAAGTTTGGGGACTATTTGATGAGTTCATGTTTGGATATATTGAGTTTGAGTGCCTATGGGATGTTCAGAAGGGGAAGTTCAGAAGATGTTCAGCAGGAAGCTGGAAATAGACAGAAGCTCTGGGGAGAAACTGGGACTGGAGATATGAATCTGAGTCATGGGAGCTGATAAAACAGTTGAAGCAGGAAGAACGTATGCAGTCACTCCAGGGAGAAGATGCAGAATGGGAAAACCAGATGGTGAGGAACACGTCCTAGGGGGCCCGGACATTAAAGGGGCAGGCCAAGGAGAAGACACTCAGAGAGACAGGAAAGAAAAGACACTCAGAAACAAGGAGGATGGAGTGAGGGGTATCATGAGAGCCACAGGCATACAGCTTCAAGAAATGAGGAGAAATGAGCAGAGAAGTCCAGCAAGACAAAGACTGGAAAGTGTTCATTTGACCTGACATTTAGGAAGCCCCTGGCAAACTTGTGACTTGGTAGGAGCAGGTCTTAGTGAGTAGAGTATCCCAATCTCACTGCTTGTGTGTGCACACGGAAGGGACATCGGCCTTGATCTACAGAGGTAGCCTGATTTTAAGGCTAAACAAAGTTGCATTTTATAATGCAATTAAAGAAATAAAAGAAGGGGCTGGCCCCGTGGCTGAGTAGTTAAGTTCGCTCACTCTGCTTCAGTGGGCCAGGGTTTTGCCGGTTCAAATCCTGGGCGTGGACATGGCACTGCTCATCAAACCATGCTGAGGCAGCGTCCCACATGCCACAACTAGAAGGACCCACAGCTAAAAATATACAACTATGTACCAGGGGGCTTTGGGGAGAAAAAGGAAAAATAAAATCTTTACAAAAAAAAAGAAAACAGTTGTAAGTTAAACATTCAAAAACCATTTAAACTTTTAGAAGCTCTCCTTGGTATGGAATAAACACAACCTTGCTTACGAAGGAATGAGTCGCTGAGCTGCAGTGATCCTGTGCTATTCTGGGAAACAGATTTCTTACACACGCTTTCTGTAAACAAAAGCAACACTAAAGCCCCCTTTGAACGTTTATAACCACATCAATCCTGACCTATACATTAAAAGGCTTTTATTGGGAATTTGGTTTTATACAACAGTGCCCCCTGGTGTGGATGTTATGCATAAATACTTACCTTTTATTAGCACGCAGGCAATATTCTTGAAATATTATTGCTGCTGTAACACTTTTTAACTTAAAAATCAAGTTCGGGGCCGGCCCTGTGGCCGAGTGATTAAGTTCACACACTCCGCTTCAGCAGCCCAGGGTTTTGCGGGTTCAGATCCTGGGCGCGGACATGGCACCGCTCATCAAGCCATGCTGAGGCGGCGTACCACGTGCCACAACTGGAAGGACCCACAGCTAAAATATATATATATATATATATACACAACTATGTACCAGGGGGCTTTGGGGGAGAAAAAGGAAAAATAAAATCTTTAAAAAATAATTAAGTTCAAATCACAGGTGTTTTGGGATGGGCGAAATGTTGATTTGGGGAGCTTAAGTCTTAGGCAATGTGACATTGGGGGTATGAGTGTACCTCGTACGGCTCATTTAAAATGATAAAAATTCATTTGTCCATGCACATTGTATAGCTGTGCTTCCATCAAATGGATCATGGCGTGGGACCCACCATTTGTCTTTTTATTTATTTACTTTAAAGATTTTATTTTTCCTTTTTTTCCCCCCAAAACCCCCTGGTACACAGTTGTATATTTTTAGTTGTGGGTCCTTCCAGTTGTGGCATGTGGGACGCCCCTCAGCATGGCTTGATGAGCGGTGCCATGTCCCCGCCCAGGATTTGAACTGGCGAAACCCTGGGCCACTGAAGCAGAGTGCATGAACACAACCACTCGGCCACGGGGCCGGCCCAACCATTTGTCTTTTAAAACAAAGTTTATAAAATTATATATATATATAGAGAAAATTGAATACATCATAAGCACAGAACAAAATGAATTTCTCAAACTGAACCACTTGTGTAATCAAGCACATGGATCAAGAGAAAATTACTGGCAGCCCGGATGCCCCACTCATGCCCTCTGCTCCGTTCGGTCACGACCGCCCCTGGCAAGGATAACCACTATCGTGCCTTCTCATAGCACAGATCCATTTTGCTTGGTTTTGAACTGTCTATAACTGGAATAATCAGTATGAGCTCTCTGTGTCTTATTAAATATATTTGTCGGGATTCATCCATGTTGCTCTGTGTAGTTGTAGTTCATTCTCTTTGCTATATAAAATACTATTGTAAAACTCAACTGTAATTTATTTATCAATTAAATAGTTGATAAACATTTGGAGTGTTTCCGTTTGGGGCTATTATAGTCTGCTATACACATTCTTCACATGCTTGTTGGTGCATGCATTTCTTTTGGGTATACACCTGGGAATTACTGGGTTATATAAAGTATGCTTACCTTTAGTAGATAACGTCAAGCAGTTTTCTAAGTTGGTCATTCTAATTTATATTCTCATTAACAGTGTATGAGAATTCCAGTTGCTTCATATTCTCACATGGTTATTGTTAATCTTTTAAATTATAAACATTCTGGTGGGTAGTCGTCACATTTTTTAAAAACAGCTTTAAGATATACACACACAATACACATACAATTCACTTATTTAAATTCAATGGCTTTCAATATAGTCAAAGAAGCGTGCATCCATTAGCCAATTTTCGAGTATTCCCATTACCCCAAAAAGAAACTCCACACTCCTCAGGCTGTCACCCGCAACCCTCCAATCCTCTCAGCCCGTCAACCACTAATCTACTTTATCATCTCTATGGATTTGCCTTTTGACATTTCACATAAATGGAATCATACAATATGTGGCCTTCTGTCTGGCTTCTTTTTTTACTTACCATGTGTTTGAGATTCATCAGATTTTAATTCAACAAAGGAATCATGGATCACACTGTACACCTGGGACACAGGTTGCAGGCTCGTTGCTGTCTATTCCTCCCCCTTTAAACATTGCTAATTGCTTGCTTACCTGATGGTACATTTCATGGTTAACTTTCATAGTTAACTTATTTTCGTGGATATACTAGGAAGCTGCGCCACTCTGAATTAATTTGTGAGAGCATGACTGAGCAGAAGATAAAGGGACAAGCCCCTTTAACATTTTCCAGGTCAAAATTATTTTGGTCTTGCTTTATGATAAATTCTGGAGTTTTGAGTTCATTTGTTGGAACAGATTCAAAACATTTACTGAGATGAGACAAATCTGGCTTTCCCTGAGGTACCCGTACAGCCGACCTCTACATCAAGGCATTGGGGCCTTCCAATCAGTTGAAGACACACACAGACGCAGATGTGAAGATCCATGTATAGACAGAGGGAGACACTGGAGTCAGTGTCTGTAAGCTAAAGAACCCCAAGGAAAGAGAGGCAAGGAACAGATTCTCCCTAGGGGCCGCCCGAGAAACCTGTCCTGCCAGCACCTGCACTTTGGACTTGTGGCCTCCAGGACTGCAAGAGAACAAACTTGTCCTCAGCCACCAAATTTGTGGTAATTTGTAATGGCAGCGCTACTTACCAATACACTGGACACTTCAACTCCCAATTCTGAAGCCGCCTGGCATAAGCAGGTGTTCAACGAAAGCTTGTCGAGCATAGTCTGGGGCTGTGAACACTCCTTATGAAAGGACTTGAATCTCTTTATCTTGCGGGGAACAGAAATTAATTGACCTTGAACTCACTTTTTCCTTTCTGACTTGTTTCCTCAACTCAAATTTAGTAGGTTGGATTAGATAGGTGGTCAGTGTCTTTCAGATACTGTAATTAGAGCAAATGTAACCTATTTTTCTCCTTACTGGTATCAAAACTGGGGCGTTCCGAGCCTGAATCGCCATAGACAGTGATACGTTTTTTCTTGGCAAGGCTGGCCTTATTTTGATAAAAGAGCCAAGGTTATTTTCCCCTGATTTAACTGAAGCCCAGTAGTAATATGCCCAAAAGCAGAAGGGGAGAAAAAACCCAACTAGACCATATGGATACCCTATTGCTTGCACTGACTGCATAATGTCTATCATTACTGGATTAAGTTGGCACTGTCAGAAATGTTATCTTAGCCCCACGCTTGGAGAATTCTTATCAGAAGATATAACTACCAAGAACGGTGGATGATTTACAAATTATTCTTATCCAAACATGAAAGGACTGGAGTAATGGGAAGAGGGAGGCTGCTATCCTGCACATCTCTAAGTTTGCTGTTATGGAGGGGCTGTGAGGTAGGGATTTTAACATAGAAAGGGAGGTTAAGAAGGCAGCTGATGAACATGTTTACTGTGTACACATTGCTGGGTACTGGCAGTGCTGAATGTGGGCAAGAGATCATTCACCAGCCACTGTACTTTGTTTCCATGAGTAAACCAAGAACCAGAGGTTTGAAGGGAATGTGGGTTCCTTTTTCTGAACTCACTTCCTCTCTATAGTGGGAAAACATCCAATACTGATTCTGTAGCACATTTTCAGACTATAAAGTGACACAGTATCCCTGGCTGTCACTTTTTTTTCCCCTTCTTTACTCTTTCTTATTCCTACATTTCCTACTTGCTGGTTTGGAGGCAAAGGTTAAGAGCATGTGCCCCGTAGAGCCATCTTGATAGGCATCCACCCCATCATCTCAGTGTGGGGTGAAAGTTCCCACTCTCAGTCCTTCAGAATGTCCAATTTTCTGCTTGGCAAACCAATCTTTTAAATAGCTGTGGATCCTGAAGGTGCTAAGCAAATGTCTGGTCAGAGAATTTACTGACAAGGAACTTTGCTCTTGAATGTCATCTAGGCCAGCTACATATGACGTTCACAGCAACTTAAGTCTGCTTTTTACGCATTTATTATTTATGTATTGAATACAGCAACAAAAGTTACATTTAACTATACAAAGAGTAAAACATTTCTAATTATACTATAGTTTATTAAGGGATGCAATGGTAAAATTAACAAGTTTTGGGGTATCAAAAGTAACGTTCAATTCTTTGGAAACCAGAAAACCTGGTATAGTCCCAGTCTAGCCCTGTTCCATCCAACATGGTGGCCACCATCCACTTGTGGCTTTTTGAGCATTTGAAATGCGGCTAGTCCAAATTGAGATGTACTGTAAATGTAATTTATACACTGGATTTCAAAGACTTGGTATGAGAAAACAGAAAATTATCTCTTTAGTAATTTTTCATACTGATCACATTGAAATATTTGCAGTATGTTAGGTTGAAGACATTAAAAAATATTTCAACTTTGCTTTTACTTTTTCATGTGGCTACTAAAATTTTAAAAATTATCTATGTGGCTTATTACATTTCTATTGGACAGCACTGTCTATACAGTTCATTAGAAGCCTGAAGCACAGAAAAGACCTGAAACACTTGGTAGACATCTGACCACAACATTCATAAGAATCTTATCCTCTAGTGCAAACCAGATCTTGTGATCTATTAATAATTGTAGCCAGTGATGTTTAATTGGCACAACTGATATGCCTGAGGTTCAGTATTATCAAGTATAGTAAGAATAAGATTAAAAAAACACGTGTAAAAAGGGAGAAATAAATGGGCAAAGACAAAGTCCTAATAGAGTCTACATTTCACATCTTTTTTAAGGACCTCTTTCACTCACAGAACATCTGCTGAGAGTCCAACGGCTTTCTAGGACAGCTCTCTTCCAGGTAGTGACTCAGAACCCAGGGGTGCTATCAACATGGCAGAGGGAAAAAGAGCTGGCTTTTAAATGCTCCCACATGGCCTATGCTTGGTGGGCTCTGGTCAGAAGCAGGCGCATGGGCCTCGCTGCCTTCCTGTAAGTAGGGCGACGTGGCCAGGTGCATGGGTATGTGAGAGCACGAGCAGCGAATGCCTCTGCCATAAGACAGCACAAGCTTCAGGCTTCTTGAGACATTCACAGTCCACCTTCTTTCCAACAAGGACATCAGGACTTGGTCACTTTTCTGAATGCTTATCAGTTAAGTACTGCAGACAGTCCGAGGGCATCACCTTCCTTTAAGCCAAAGAATGACTGCTGCTTGAAAGAAGGGAGAGAATTGGGATCTATTACTCAACTGCAATTTTTTGTATTTTGTTTCTACTTTCCTTCTCAAGTAACACAGTCAGTATATATCTAAGTAGATTGCTTTTATTTTCTTCCTTTTATAGTCAAAGGAAAGCAATTACACAAACATGTATGGAAAACGACAAGCAGAGGCTCTTCTTTCCATATTGACAATAAGTTGGATGTAAGCTGCAGCTAAGGTGGACAAATGTGCCCAATTTGTCTACTGTAATCTTATTTCCTGCATCTTACCGTTAACATATATAGAAAGAAACCTAGTTACCTACTTATGTATCTCTACTGTTCGATGACCTTATGCTATGTGTGTGGCTACACTCAGCAGTCTTCTTGGCTTTTTTAAAGGTTATAAATATGCACCACGTTATAATGCTAGCTGCTTTTGTGTTTCTAAGATGTTTATGTAAATGCAGAAACAAAATCTGAACTATAGTCTAAAAATTAAATCTGGCAGCTGGTAGCTTAACAGCTCTATCTTGCTGCTGGAGTCCCCTGAAGTCCCCGTCCAGGAACACAGAGCCCCTGCCCCTGGCTAACACAGTAATATGAAGCACAACAAAATGTTTTAAGTGTACATCATACATTTATTACCAACAACCCTCTCAACTCCAAAATTGGGCACAGGGATTAAAAATAAAAATTCATTGCACTACTTTGTAAAGCATTACTAGTAACTTTCATAAAAAATGTACAAACTTTGTTAAAAATTTATCAAGCCTTCAAATGATTTGGTTACAGATATTTATAATACGTACATTTAAAACTATATGTTAACTGATACAATGGAATATGATTTGAGGAAATGACTCAGCAAATGATTCCAAAAAACACCCCTGTGAGCTTTCATAATTTGAAACAAACAGCAAAATGAGGTAACCAAATATACCAACAGGGGGAAATCGCTTTCTAATGAAGGCCTAAAGATATCTGTGAAAAATGTTGTCATAAGTGAGTTGATAGATCTCATTCAATATATTGTAAGAGGCCCAAATTTAACAATCTTAACAAATCACATTTCAGAGAGTATATAAAATCTAAATATGCTTTCACATTTTCTAGATTTTGCTCAAAAAAATTCAGGACAGAAAAATCCTAATGAGATCTGGATACCTGGAGGCCTGGACTTGTTTTTTGTTTTGTTCTTTTTTTGCTGGGGGGGGGGGGGAGGGAGTGGCTAAAAAAGAAAAATCAAAGATAATAATCCATGCAACCCCCTCCCCTAAACAAACCCCACAGCAGAGTTAAGATGGTAAAGTCGATATTATTCTAGGAGGAAAGAGGAAGAAGGCAACAAACCAGCATCTGCCTGCTATCTGGTGCATCATCCAGGTGACAAGAGTCGGGCACGAATCAAATGTTCTTTCTCTTCTGCTAGCCACAAGTTGCTCACTGTGGTTAGGCTGAGCTGTTCAGAACACAGGCATGTGTGCTCCTAATACGTACTAACCACTTAATGAGCAAGTCTGCACACATCTCTAAGAGCCCCAGGCAAAGAAAAGACGTTCCAAAGAGATCAGTCACAGGAGTGCAACAATTCATTCAAGATTTCACCAAAATAGACCCTGCTGCCTCCTAAACTGCCCACTGCCTCTCAAAAATTTACTGGAAAAGGGATACTATGTTTAGAACTCAATGTCAGAGGGAGGGAAGAAAGAGCTACTCTTCCTAGTCATTAGTAAAATGTGCCTTACTAATTAGGTATCTATATAAATTAGAGAAAGTGCTGTACTTGCATGCTTCAATAAAATGAATACTGAGTGTAGTAGTGTTATGTTAGATCTGTACAGATATAAATTTTTTGCAACTATATAAAAGAGCCTATGTATAAGATGGGTTTTTGCCATTTTAAACATGATTTTTTAATTTAAAAAAATACAGATTAAACTATACGTGATTTGTAATGTAGCTGATTATTATGCCAATAATTTTGGTCTTTAACCAAAATTATTTTTTTTACTCATCAGGAACAAGTGAGAGCTATCCTAAAGATTTAAAAGTAACGTGTATTTCACCACTGTTTAGATTTTTCTGATGCACCGACAAATATAGGGGCAAACAAAAAGTATGCAAAATCCTATTCGTATGACTAAATAGAGGCAACAGTGTCTGGGAAGGGCAAAATTGTGCTTCTGTGTGAATTGACTACTGAACTCTAAGCTGTGATGAGCTCACAGAGACTTCAGGGGCAGGCAAGCAGCACGGCAGTAACAAGTGGCTGACTGTCAGAGCAGAGGGCTGACAGAAGGCCAACTGAAAGCTGAGTGAGGCTGCAGCAAGTTATCACCGTCCTGACTGGAATTCCGCAGCTTGTGCTACTGCAGACAGAGCAACGACATCAACTGCAGGAGAGGCAGAGAATGTTGAATACACCAAAAAACTGAGAGAGGAATTGAAATACTGCTGGAAAAATGACCTTAAACAATCTGAATTATGCTCCAAAAAAAACCCCCACATAGCTATGTCTTATTTCAGATCAACTAAATGAAGGTCAATTCCTGTTTTACAGCATTATTTTTTATACAAAAATCAAATCTTCATTTATACTGCAAGTATTCTGGACACCTGTTATATTAAATTTTATCTCATTCAAACAAAAATTAAAAAGAAAAGCAATAAAACATCAAAGCACATCAGGTCTAAGAAACTTGAGAGGTCACAGCACTTGATCCATCCTGGAAACGAGGGTTTCGATGAGAAGCACATTTACTGAGGAAAGAAGGACTAGACAACTTTCAGAATCAGAGGTTGGCAGGTGAATTAACACGAAGAGAAATACAGTTTTCTTCAAACGATTTAGTTGTCTGTGGGCGCTGGAACAAAGGACACAGAGCAGAAGCCAAGCTGCGTTAGTTGACAGTTTGTTCTGGTGGAAGTCAGGGGGTGAGACCTCATGGGACCAGCGGTATTCGTAGAAATATATTACTCAAATATCTTCAGAATAGAACACAAATTTAAAAACACACACACAAAATCAAGAATACTTCCTCTAAGAAGCTTACTGGAAATGTAAAGAAAAAACTAAGAAAGTATCAACATTCAAATCATTGACTGAAATGCTAATATTGCTAACTGATGATGTATGATATTGCACCTTCTTTTTGGAAACAGCAAGTTGAAGATTTAAAAATTTCTTTTTCACAACAAAATAAAAAAATCAGTTTCATGGAGTGAGAATCTGTTACACTTTTTTTCCTAAGTGACCCTCTTGGGACCACCAATGAAGAGAAGGTGACAGCTGCCTGAAGCAAAGGAAGAAGGCTTTTCTCATTCCATTCATTGGGAGGGAAGGGGATGGAGTACTCAATGCTTATAATTGATGCACCCTTAGCAATCAGTGTGCAACAGCAAACACAAGGAAAAAACCAGTGTACAGTACTAGTGCTGTTTAAATAACACACCAGATTATACAATGCAGCATAATTAAAACTACACACACATTCTTGGTACATGCTGGTATATAGGATCTCATACACACATTAGCTACCATGCCCTCACACAAGTAGTTGCACACACTCTCTCACACACACAGATACATTTATCACCAAGAGTCATACGCTGCATTCATTTCCACTCACAGTTTCTGAAGGCTCTATATAAGGTAGATTGCTATGTCATCTGGAGCTACCACTTTTTATAAAAGCACATGCTAAAAGATCATGTCCACTGTAATCTTGCAGCAACACTCGGAATGATCACACAAAACCAGGGAATGTTAGTGCACACACAAAATTAAGCTAAAGAAAAAGTCTTTGGAGTTCCAATCACACGGTTAGTATAACAATCCCATAATTGTGAAGACTAACTGTAAGCTTTTATAGTTGATTAAGTCACACAGTGCAAAGAAAGGTCCGTTGACCCTTTTGGTAAAGGGGGGGCTGGAAGCCACACAGATTAAGTTCAATGGATAGTCCATATATACAGGTGATGAGGAACACCCAAACTAAATTTGTGCTCTTAGGTTGGTCATTCTGAATCCCGATGCACTTCTGAAGCATCAGCTCGGCAAATTGGGCAAGTACGATTTGCCTAAAACACAAAAGAGAAAACTTGTCTGAATTGTGACTCACACAATGAAAATAGTAAAAGCAATGGAACTATTTTTACTTTCCAGAGTTATCTTGTTTGTTCCTTTAAGAAGGTAAAAAGCAATCATTTAATCTCTCTTTTAAAAAACATTCCACAAACCTCAAAGACTTAATAGCCTATGAATGATTTTTTAATAGGTCTGTTTCAACATACAGACAAGATTACCTATCACCAGTTCAGACAACTTTAAAACTGGCTTAAAACTCCATCTCAACAAATGGCACCACCATTTGCTGAGTTGCTAAAGTCAGAAGCAGGCATCACCTGCTCTCTTACTTTCTACAATCACTATTCATCAAATAGTCTCATTTCTACATTATAATAGCTCTCAAATCAGTCCTCCCCTTTTATCCGACTGCCACTATTCATTCTCTCTGGTCCAGAACATCCTTATCCCATCTCCCTATCTCTTAGAAATCATCTCTTCTATTCCATTCTCCAAAGAGTGGACAGTGATCTTTCTAAAACAGTCTTATTTTTCCACACTGGTTTCAGGATCAAGTCCAAACTCCCTCACACTTCACAGAGACCTCACAATAAGCTGGTCACTGGTTATACCTCTGAATGTCTCTTCTCTTGCCCCTCTCCCTCACACTCTAGCTATCAGCAACAGGGAACCTGTGGTTTTCTGACCATTCTCTGTTCTCGTGTGTCAGGGCTGTACATATATAATGCTTTCTTTTTCTAAAAAGTTAAGACTGTTTGCCTTCAGGGTTCAGTTTGGGCTAAAATGGGTACCCTTAATCTGTGCTCACACAGAGGACTGATTCTATTTTAACTCATCTGTCTGCCTCACCAAACTCTGAAGTTATCTAACCCAGTGTTGTTATCTCCTAATCAGAATAGTCTAAAAAAATCATAGTTGACTATTTATTTTACTGCAACACATTTTTATTCTGCTATTATAAAAAACAGAAGACACCCCCTGAAATAATTTCACCCTGGCATAACAACTGTTAGAATTTGCATCTTTCGGGCTTTTTTTTTCCCGATCTACAAAGGAGAAAATGATCAGAATTAAATAAAAGCACGAGAAGTTTATTTCTCATGTAAATCTTTGACAAATGACCTCTACTGAGGTCCCCTTCTAAATTCTTAGAGGAAACTGGCCTAACAAGGTCAGGCCATGTCCCTATACACCATGAGAAAGCTAGGACATACTGATTATCAAGGACATAGAACCCATTTTCAGGTTTTGCACGGTCACTCGCATGTTGAGGACAGTTAGTTAATTTTTAATGGCCTTTTCTCTTCATTTCCAGAAATCACACTAAAGCTGTGTTTCAATTTTGTCTCCTTACCCACCCTCCACCAAACCATGCACTTTTTCTCCATGAAACTATGGTCAATAAAAAATAAAATTTATTGTTATTCTCTTCATAGATGCCATCACTTTACCTTGAGCCATTTGTCGACACACTTGGCATGGAACTCGTGGTTACAGGGTAAAACTCTAAGTAGCTGCCTCGACTCAAAATCACACATGCACACTACACACCTAAAAAAGCAGAAAGATCATTTAACCACAGAACCAAGTGGTTTTCTATTTTGTTACAACTATTGAAGCCTACAAAACCACTTACCATCCCACTTATCAAGATGTCATTTAAATCTTAAGACAAAATAATCCACCAATATTTTGAAAAGTCATGATGTTAAGACATTTAGTAAGAGTGCTCTGCTGAATTTGCTGAGAGATCAAGATTAATACTGAAGATCCTATAATATTCAACAAATGGTGCTAGAACTGGATATCCATATGCAAAAGAATGAAGATGGACCCTTACCTCACACCATATACAAAAGTTAACCAAAGGCTTAGATGTAAGACCTAAAAACGATTAAACTCTAAGAAGAAAACATAGAAGTAAACTTTGTGACCTTGAAATAGGTAATGGTTTCTTAGAGATGATGCCAAAAGCACAAGAAACAACAAAAAAATGTAAATAAATTGAACATCAAAATTAAAAAAAAAATTGTGCTTCAAAAAACACCATCAAGAAAGTAAAAAGACAACTCACAGAATGGGAGACATTTTTGAAAATCATTTATTTCATAAGGGACTTATACGTATAATATATAAATAATTTCTACAACTCAATAAAAACACAATACAATTAAAAAATGGACAAAGGATGTAAACAGACATTTATCCAAAGAAGACATATAAATGGTCAATAAGTACATAAAAAGAGCTCAACATCATTAGCCATCTGGGAAATGGAAATCAAAACCTCAGCGAGAGATCATTTAAAAGACAGACAATAACAAGCATTGGTGAGGATATGGAGAAATAAACTTTGTACAGTGCTGGTGGGAATGTAAAATGGTATAGCCACTGGAAAAACTGGAAGTTCTCAAAAGGTTAAACACAGAGTTATATCATATGACCCAATACTCCTAGATCCCCAAGAGAAATGAAAACAGATATCCACAGAAAAACTCGTACACGAATGTTTACAGCAGCATCAGCAATACTAGCCAAAGTGAGGAAACAACCCAAATGTCTACCAATTGAGGAAAGGATAAACAATATCTGGTGTATCCATACAGTGGAGTATTATTTGGCCATAAAAAGGAATGAAGTACTGATACCTGCTACAACATGATGGACCCTGAAAACATTATGCTAAGTGAAAGAGGCCAGACCATATATTGTCTGATCCCATTTATGTGAAATGTCCAGAATAGGCAAATCTATAGAGATAAAAGTAAATTAGAGGGAGACCATGCTGGGGTGGTGAAGGCTGGGGAGAAATGGGCAGCAGTGGCTCCTAAAGGGTAAGGGTTTTTTTGGAGGGGGTGATGAAAATGGTGTACATTTGAGATCATGGTTGCAAAACTACAAATATATTGAAGACCACTGAACTGTACACTTTAAATGTGAACTACATCTCAGTAGAGTTGCCAGGAAAAAGATCAAATAATAAACAGAATCTTTAGGTTAAAACCTCAAACTTTGCACATATGAAACTTTTTGATCTCATATAAAACACTCTAGAATTTGAATTAGAAACCATAAAATTTATAGCCAACGGCACTTCCTGAGGCGGCGGCGATGCCCTACATCTACGTCTTCCAATGCAGTGTCACTAGCTACTGCATCTAAGAAACTCCACTTTTCATTCTGTTTAATTTAAACAGCCCCAACTGACTAGCGGCTACTTTACTGGACAGCATAGGCCCCGAGTATAAAATAGAGATTACTTATCTTTATCAAGTTATCTTTGATTCTTAAGCTTTTATTTCATAAAGGTAGAAAGGAAATTTAACAGAGTGATGTCAGAAAAATGTACTTACAAAGTCTGTTCTGACTGGTGGTTGTTAGGATTGAAGCGGTAAGAAGGAAGCTGTTCAATATCTGCTTTCGTCAGCCCTCGAGGCTTAGCCTCTCCCAGTCGCTCTGCCAGGTTTAAAAGGGCCTGTGGAGGGCAAAAGAGACATATTTTAACCTTTCTTTACATCTTCTATTCCAGGAATTTTTTTTTAAACTACCTTTATTATGGAAAATGTTAAATACATACAAAAGTAGAGAAACAGTATAATGAACTTCCATATATGCCTGTTACTCAGGCTTAATAATTTCATGACTAATTTTATTTCATCTATTACTGTCCACTCCTAAACCCCAGATTATTTTAAAACAAAACTAAAACATGGTATTTCATTGGTAAATAGTTCTATGTGTATGTTTAAAATAGTCTGTCGACCTCAGTACTTTTGCCCTTTTGGGCTGGATGTAATTTTGTCGTGGGGCTGTCTTGTGCACTGGAGGATGTTTAGCAGCGTCCTTGGCCTCCACTGTTTGGATGCCAGTAATACTGCCCGCCCCCCGCACCCCTCGTTTGCAACAACCAAAAATGTCTCCAGATGTTGCTAAATATCCACTAGGGACAAAACTGTGCCCAGGTTGAGAACTACCGCTATAAAAAAAAAAAAGACTTTTTAAAGAATATAACCACAACATCTCACGTCTAAAGATTAACAATAATTCCTTAATGTCAAATGTCTCTGATTGTTTCAATTATTTTCAAAACACTTTTTAACACAGTTTGTCCAAATCAGGATGCAAATAAATCCATACATTACCATTGCTTGATATGTCTAAAGTATCTCTTTTTACTCTCATTTTTGTTGAAGAAAACAGGTCAATGGCCTATAGAAAGCCCCAGTCTGAATTATGCTGACTGAACACCCTACCCTGACTCGTGAGGTTTAATAGATTCCTTGTCCCTTGTACTTCCAATAAACTGTATGATCTGACTATTTCCATCATAAAGCTCATGTGTAATTGTTACATTAACAGCCACTGATGGAATAATGCCTAGATCCATTAATTCATTAAAGATAGCGAAATGGTAATATTCTAATTCTATCATTCTTCGTTTATTAGATGAAATACTTCTGTATGAGCAACTGTCCCACAGTAAACTGTACTCAGTAGTATAATTTATATAGAAAAGGCAGGGTAAGACCAATGAGTCTGTTTTTTAAGTATCACTATGAACTCACAGATTTTAACATAGTTGTTTTTCAATATATTGCTGCTATCATGCTTATTGATTTTACACCAGGCTTTCCTTTCTCCCAGTCTTCAACGGCTCTACTCATTCACTTGCTGGATCCTACAATCAAGAAGCCTTTTGTGTGCTGCTTTCCCCCTTTGTTCAAGCTGCCATAGGGTTAAGAGAATAGGTAACAGAGAAACGATGATGGACAATGAGAGCAATGGAATTAAAGTCCCCAAATCTCAATAATTAATGCTGTGATAGCTGTATGTTCTAATATGGTGGCATCACAACACTGCTTTCAATATAGTTTTATTTGGAGAACTGAGTCATCTAAATAAATTGCTTCCCCTTCACCATGCATGCCCCTAAGTTCTTCTTAATGCTAGAATAGACAGTAATTGTTTAATTGATGATTATAATTAGCATATAGAATTTAGATAAAATTTATGTTATAGCTGATATGCATCTTTTATACCTCTATTGTATATATATATTGTATACCGGATGGAGAATGTAACGATAATCAGGCCCTCAACAAATTTACATAATCTAGCAGGCAAGAAGACTGAAGGCAGGACATGATTTGTATGTACAATTTTATAAGAACTCTAAGAACAAAAGGGAGGGGGAGCTCATTTAGATCTGGGAATGGACTAGAAATGCCTTTCATAGAGGTAGTGGGTTTTTAGCTGAGTCTTGAAAGAAAGATGGCTATGTTTCAAAATGTGAAGGAAGGGGGTAAAGTTCCTAGGCAGAAGGATTGAGGGGAGTAAAAGGCATGCAGGTAAGAATGTATGGGGTAGACTCACAAAATGGTGAATACTGTGGTGGTGTAGGCATGTACACTACGGGATGAAACCAGAAAAGCAAGAAAGACTTTCTTGATTGGATCAAAGTACGGCTCTGCAGAAGATCAAACGTATTCCACACAAAATACAAATATTTTTCTTTTTCGCCCCAAAGCCCCCTGGTACATAGTTGTATACTCTTAGTTGTGGGTCCTTCCAGCTGTGGCATGTGGGACGCTGCCCCAACATGGTCCGATGAGCGACGCGGACTTAACCACTCAGCCACGGGGCCAGCCCCTAAAAATATTTTTCTTATACTGGGATGGTATCACTGTTTTTTTCCATGGATATGTATATGATCTGTTTAATGAAGAGCTGTCTTTTACAGCAACATGACTTATGACAATTTTAGTACAGAATACCTAAAGGATAACCAACTCCTTTTCTTACTGCTCTGAACAAAACTAACAGAAGAACATAGCATTTGGCCTGATCTTTTCCACGTACATCAACAAAAAACAAAGGTGCTTTAAGATTTCGCATGTGTGTGTGTGTTGTCCCTGTCCCCAGGTTTGATTCACTTAAAACAACCGTTCCAGTATTCATAGGGGATAAAGAGAGACTGAGGAGGCTGAAGGAGAAAGATGGCTGGCAGTATCAAGACAGTCATACATCACTCACACTCAACAGATCCAAACCCAAATTTGCCTTCCAACCCATGAATTGCACCTCCTAGTCTTCCCCCCAAATAATACAGTAACATCAACATCCAAGTCAGAGGATGCCTTCAACTGAACCTGCTGTCCTCTGTGGTTCTGCCTCCGTCATGGGCTACTGCAGGACTTTTTGTAGAGCATCTTCTTTTTCAACCCTCCCACTCCCACTTGACACTACCATAAACCATGCAGTGATCAAATGCTGTTATTCCAGGGTTAAAATGTCTTTCAAGATCTACTCTTTTCTATTTGCAATTCCCATAGTTCAGAACTTGCATCGTTTCATAATTTATTGCCTGACCTATTAAATAGCTTTCCCCGACACTAACCCTAACCACTCCCATCTATTCCTTCATGTTACTAGCAGAGTTTTGACTCTTTGTTTTTTTTTGGAGGAAGATTAGCCCTGAGCTAATATCTGCTGCCAATCCTCCTCTTTTTGCTGAGGAAGACTGGCCCTGAGCTAACATCTGTGCCCATCTTCCTCTACTTCGTATGTGGGATGCCTACCACAGCATGGCGTGCCAAGTGGTGCCATGTTTGCACCTGGGATCTGAACCAGCGAACCCTCGGCCGCCAAAGCAGAATGTGCGAACTTAACTGCTGCACCAACGGGCCGGCCCGAGTTTTGACTCTTAAATGTAGAGATCTGATGCCTTAAGCACCAAAACATTTCTTCCCACAATATTCAAAATTACATCCATTTTCTAACAGAGTACTGAAGGACAAAAAGCTGAGCCTTTCAATCAAATCTCCATTTTCTCCCCTTCACTTTAGCCATAAAACTGTATGCTATTTCTCAAGAACATCCAGTACTTCCCTGACTGAACCTCATGCACGAAACAGCTTTCCCATCCTTCAAGCACTGCCTCCAATTCTTCTCAGAACATGCAACAATAATTCACCATTTTCTCATTTACATTCCCTCATAGAAATCGTATGTAATTCTAACAAAGCACCAAAGTCCATCTTGTTATCACAGCTGGGTGGTACATGTAAAAGTATCCTTATTGATGCTGTACACTCTTTTGATATATTTGTATCTTGAAATGTACACAAGATTTACCTAATAAATGTTTAATTAAATGAGTTGAGTAGAACAATAGTTTTTATGCACATAATACGCCCCAAATTAATTAACAGTTCACCTACTAACCTCGTAATTTTCTACTTCTCCATCTTCCACATCCAATTCAAAGCTGAAAGTTGGGCCCACTGCAGGTGGCACTGGGAGCATTGATCTGCAGTGAAAATAACCAACACTAGCATTGATACATTAGTACATTACTTCAATGAACAGCAGGGGAAGAACAAGGCCAGTGCTACAAAGATAAAGAATGGTCAGTTTTAAACAGTGGCAACCCTTTAAAGAAACTGACTTCATTAGCAACAAACTAGAAACTGACATTAAAAAAATACTGCTTACAATAGTATAAAAAATATGAAATATTAGGGCTGAGTTTAACAAAACATGTGCCAGACCTGTATAATAAAAACTGTAAAAATACCACTAGGATAAATTTTAAAAGATGAATAAATAGAGAAATACACCATGAACGTAGACTAAAAGACTCAATATTGTTAAGATGTCAATTCTCTTCCAAAATTGATCTACAGATTTTATGCAATCCTTATCAAAATCGCAGGCAACCTTTTTTTTTAAGTAGAAACAGATTTGCTGATTTTAAAATGTATATGGACACACAAAAGACTTTAAATAAAATCATTTTAAGAACAAAGCTGGGGTGCCGGCCCTGTGGCGAAGTGGTTAAGTTCCCATGCTCTGCTTCGGGGCCCAGGGTTTCACTGGTTCGGATCCTGGGCGCAGATATGGTGCCACTCATCAGGCCATGCTCACGCGGCATCCCACATGCCACAACTAGAAGGACCTACAACTAGAATATACAACTATGTACATGGGGGCTTTGGGGAGAAGGAGGAAAAAAAAGATTGGCAACAGATGTTAGCTCAGGTGCCAATCTAACAAAAAAAAAGAAAAAAGTTGGGAGACATACTGATTTTAAGACTTACAATAAAGCTACTATTATCAACACAGTGTGATAAAGGCACACGACCCTTTGGTATAAAGACAACATTGCCTAGCCTACCTAGGAGGTAGTTATAGACATGTGACTAAATTCTGGCCAATGGGATGTAGGCAGGAGTAATATGTACAACTTCTAGGAAGTATCCTTGAGAGGAGGGAGCCAGGCAGAGATCTTTTATTTTTCCTAGCTGGAAGGTAGATGTGATGGCCAGAACCTGAGGAGTCATTTTAATATCATACAGAGGAAGCCATAAAATTTTGAGGATGGTAGGATTCCTTGGAGTTATGGGGCTAACAAATCGTCCTTAAATTACCTGCTTCTGGAATTCATTACATGAAAGAGAAATAAAGAACTATCATGTTTAACCCTTGGGTGTTTCTGTTACAAAGTTAATCCTAACCAAATATTTTTAAGGCACAGAAATAACTTCTCCTTCTCTTTTCCTTTGAGAGAAGCAGCAGCATCAAAAGCTGGATTATCAAAGAAGGTGGCAGGTGATGCCAGCTGTAAAAGAGGCTAAAATTTTAAACTTTTCTATCTTTTGATTTATTAAACATGTTTTCTGGCTCTTGAATTTCTTCCTCTCTCACTTCTTCCCTTGTCCTTGCTCTTCTCTTTCACCCTTAAATGGTACCTCACACTAATTCCTTAACATTAAATAAAAACACCAATTTCTAACACACAATATTTTTTTAACATTACCACAGTCCACTTTATTTTTTTGAGGTCATAATGGTTTGTAACACTGTGAAATTTCAGGTGTACGTTATTATTTATCAGTTTCTGTTTAGATTGCATCGTGCTCACCTCCACCAGTCTAGTTTTGATCCGTCACCATACATATGTGCCCCTTTACCCCTTTCGTCCACCCTCCAACCCCCTTTCCCTCTGATAACCACTCATCTGTTCTCTGTCCATGTAACGCAGTCTAAATTATATACCACATACAAGATATTCATAAATGAAAGAGAATCTCAAGGGTGTCAAAATTCAGAACTCATTAAAATGAGAAAGACAGAACTTACAACACATATGGTAGTAAGCTGGGATGATAAGGGGGAGGTGGCATTGGTTGCTGGGATCGATATCTATTACGTCCTGTGAGCCTCCGAGGCACAAACGGAGGATAAGGCTGTAAGAGAAAAAAGTTACAACAATTTAAGATCATTCTATCTTTAATACTATTTAGTCTGTCAAATAAAGTCTCTTCTTTTTTAAAAACCTAGAAAGTTCTTTACTGTTCAAGTGGTATTTAACTACTTCTTAAATGTTAACACAGATCCAACAACTAGTTTAAAACACACTTAGGTGTTATTTCTAAACACGATTTTTCAACCAAATGTTTTCAAGAATACATTTAAAATTTGAAACATAGTTATACTGAAGCACAACTCAAAACAAACACATTATCAAAGCAAGTAATAAATGATTAACAATGAATGAAAGCTTACAACTCCAAAGGACACCTCCTGATGCAAAGGATCATGTGCTAAGAACTGCAGAGGAGCTGACGGAGGTAAGGTTGGGGGGTGGGCTGATGGAGGGTAAGTAAAACCTCCTACTGGAAGATGTTCTCCTAAGAGTTCCACTTCATTTTCTATCCTTTGCAGAGGCTGAGGGGGGAAAAGCAAACTTTAGATAGACTGTGCTCCAGAATAATAAAAATCAACCCCCCACCCAAATATCTTCAAGGTCATGCATGTCTTGATGTTCACAGCACTCGAAGTTCATCCACGTGGGCACAGAGACGCTAGTAAAATCTTCCTGCCTTCAAGTGAATTTCAGTAAGAGAGTCTCTGAAACATATTATTAAACATCTCCACTATCCATTAAAGGTTACATTTCTTTTACCATTTGAACCTTCTCTTAAAATGAGAAGGAAAGACAAAAAGTCATGCAGTAAGCCAATTATATGAAAGTTAAAATTACTTTTTAGTCATGGCACACTGACCTACTCATAGGATTTTCAGACAATTAACCTTTAACAGATAAAATCAAACATGGAATATAAAGATCAGAACCAGGGCTAAATGGGGTAAGATATAGCAGGTATTATACTATAGTAGAAAGCTATGGGCTTTGGCATTAGACAGACTCAGTGCTGTAACTAATCAGCCATGTGACTTTTGTATAAATTACTTAATCTGACCCTCAATATTGTCATCTACAGAACTGACATGTTCATAGCCTACTTCAAGTGTGTTGTGAACACTGAGACAATGTACAAAAGCACATAATGCTATGCAAAGCACACTGCACATGTATTTAAAAATAGCTTTATTGAGATATGATTCACATACTATAAAATTCACCCTGCCAAGGGGTACAATTCAATGGATTTTAGTATATTTATGGAAGTTGTGCAATCGTTACCCCTAATTCCAGAACATTTTTATCCTCTCGCCCTCCAGAAAACAAACCCGTGTCCATAGCAGTCCATTACGCATTTCCCCCCAGTCCTCCCCAAGTCCTGGACAAGCACTACTCTATGTTCCATGTATAGAGATTTGCCTATTCTGGACATTCTGTATATATGGAATCATGTAGTCTGTGGCTCTTGCATCTGGCTTCTTTCACTTGGCATGATGTTCTCAAGGTTCATCCATCTTGTAGGTTGTGTATCATACTTCATTCTTGTTTATCCATTTATCAGCTGATGGACACCTGGATTGTTTACACTTTTTGGCTATTAGGAGTAATGCTACTAAGAAGATTTGTGCACATATTTTTGTGTTGATGTTTTCAATTTGATTCTCGTGGGAACATGTATTTAAATGTTAGTCTGACTTCCTCCCCCAGTTAGACAAGAGCAACAAAGTATTCAAATATAACTAATTACTAACACTTTAATTTGGAAGCTTATGTATGCTTGAGAGAAACAACAACTGGGGACACTACGACAACACAAGTGAATCTAACTTTTGATTTGGCTATGTGATTGGACGTTTTAAAGAATTCCAAATTCAGATATAAGTGATGGCTAAGTTTTGTTTTTGTTTTTGTTTTAAAGATTTTATTTTTTCCTTTTTTCTCCCCAAAGCCCCCCAGTACATAGTTGTATATTCTTCGTTGTGGGTCCTTCTAGTTGTGGCATGTGGGACGCTGCCTCAGCGTGGTTTGATGAGCAGTGCCATGTTCGCGCCCAGGATTCGAACCAACGAAACACTGGGCCGCCTGCAGTGGAGTGCGCGAACTTAACCACTTGGTCACGGGGCCGGCCCTGCTAAATTTTGTTTTAATCTTGAGTTCCCAGGTACTGGAAGCAAAGGAACATCTTGGCATGAATCCTGTCCTGATTCTAATATAAGATTTTCTTGTAATAGTTTTAACTGTCCAGATTAGCCAAGCTTCTATTATAATTGGCTTCTATAGGCTGCAGGAAGAGTAGTCCCCCTTCCTGAGACCAAGCATGGTACATAAACCCTTGGTCAAGAACGCTTAGGCTCTGCTAGAACCAACTGTCAAGTTCCTTTCCCAGGGCTGAAATCTTCCACTCTAACCATTTCCATGTTCTCTCCCTTGTTCTCCCTTAATGCTTCAGGGTTCGGATGTTCAACCGGCCCTGTCCAAAACACAACTGGGCCTTCTTCCTGTGCCCTTCCTTCCACTTACAGTACTTCCTCCTCGAGCCCCTGAAATAATACATCTCTCAGCAATATTCCAGCCCCAGGAGAGAATTAACTATATTAACAGACTATCTTATCTATGTTTCATCAGAACATAGTGGAAAAACAGGTCTTCAGAAAAAACAATTGAGGCTCAGAGGGTTACTTTACTTGCCTAAACAAATATAAATACTATTCTTAACAAGTATAAACAATTTTATATTTTAATTTTCCATTTTAGAAACACATAAAAAGAAAAACCTGAACTAAATTTTTCTTCATTTACTTTCTGAAGGACTGCAGATATGAAAGAACAAATTTAAATTAGACAAGTGACATGTAAAATATCTAGAAAAATTTAAGAAACCAAGACAATTCTAGATAAATATCTATGCTAATTAATGTCTGCGGATTCCTTAATTAAGAACCAGAAGAATGCCTAAGACATAGTTTTTAAATGGTAACAACTTACATCTACTAAATTAATCTGCCTGTGAAAATTAAAGATATAAGAGTAGAGATACCTACCGATCGTGATTGCTGTGTTTGGAAAGGGACAAACTGGCCCGGTGGTGGCAAATGAGGAGGATGATGGGGAGAAAGGTGAGGAGGATGTAAGAGAAATGGATCACTAGAAATAAGGGGTGGGAACGCAGCATATGGTACTGGTAAGTGCTGAACTGAACATGCTTGAAGCATCTGTAAAGAGAAACCATTATTTTTTGTTAAAAGTATCAGAATATATAATTAATTTTTTTTAAGGTTTTATTTTTCCTTTTTCTCCTCAAAGCCCCCCGGTATATAGTTGTATATTTTTAGTTGTGGGTCCTTCCAGTTGTGACATGTGGGATGCTGCCTCAGCATGGCCTGATGAGCGGTGCCATGTCCGTGCCCCAGGATCAGGCGAAATCCTGGGCTGCCAAAGCAGAGCACGTGAACTTAACCACTTGGACACGGGGCTGGCCCCTATAATTAATTTTTTTAAAAAACTATAAGTGAGACTGAAATGTCATTGCCATATCCCCCCCGCCCCAATCACACCAAAATGTTTTAATAATCTCTATTAACAGTGAAATACTAGGGTATTTTTGCATCTATTAGTTAGATACTTGGAACTAATTATTCTGTATTTTATATAGTTCTTACAAATCAGTCAAAACATCGCTTTTACTTCAGCCCTTTAACACCTGTGACATGGGGGAAAGTGCTGCATGGAAGAGGAATGTGTCACTACTTGGTTTAAGATGTAGCAGACACTACTGCTTTCCAAGAAGCTCTCCTTTTCAATCTTGCAGAAAAATTTTTACTTCTAGGATTTTCAGATTTATAAGAGTCCAATTTACAACTAGGTGCCTTATGGTCTCTCAATTTTTTAGTCTGCTAATTCAGCACACTGGTTCTATAATCTATCATTGAGAAACCAAGCTTTGAGAGATTAATCTGTTAATCTGTTGTTGGTCTTTACATGTGCGTGTTTGTTTTAAACTCACATTCAGACAAGGGTATTAGGATTATATTTAGATTTGGCGAAGTGCCTTACTTAGAAGACATTATTGACCTTAGGCAAATCATTGAAATCATCCGGATTTCCGAGACCTCATTTGTGAAGTGAGGAGGGTGGACTGGGAACTGGTAATTAAAGGATAAAGCATAAGGTTAGGAGGCAGAAAGAAGCGAGTATGAATCCCTGCTCTCTCATAATAATTGTCTGATATTAAGCAAGTCATTTTCATTTCACCATCTAGAAAATGGGGGTACCGTTTTCATCACAGGCCTCCCATAGTGAGGAATAAATAAGACCAAGCATTCAAAGTACCTGTTAAAACCTAATAAGTGCTGAGACTATTAGTGTTGATCACCGAAGTCTCTAAGACTTTGCTACTAACTAGTCCAATATCCTATGTCAAGACCCCACAGCCAACCTTTATCAAGGATTAATTATAAACAGTACCAATATATGAGGAAACACGTTTTGACCTTCAGGATATTCAAATACGTATAATTTAATTAACGTAAAAAAACGCATCAAGTTTTAAAGCCAAGTTTATTAAACTGATACTATAAAGGATGCTACTGAGATTTCTGTTGCAGTAAAATTGCCTTCTGTACTTGGAAGCGAAAAGCTACAAAAGGCAGTCTCTTCAATTTTGTTTGCTTATAAACACACTTAGCCATTCTAAAGAGGGAATGCACAGACTTACTGGAGGAGGCACACTACAGACGGGGAGGTGCTGTCCACTGAAAACCACAGAGCATCCTGGGACCTGCTGTGTACTGCAAGCAGGGATATGCTGGCCTGTGCAGAGTGGAATCCCATGTGGTGCCACTGTCGTTACTGTGTAAGAAACGGGAACGGTGCCCTGATGGAGCTATTAGGAAAGAAAAACAGAATTTTAGAACTTCAGTTGTTTGGGTAAAACATCAACTATTAAAAATTAAAATCTGGGCATTTATTGATTCCTCTCTCAACTGCACAGATTTTCACAATGTACTTCCTCCAACAGTTTCAACCATAATATTGTCACTGTATAGGAAAGCTGACTGTTTCAAGAGTAGTATATGATGTCCACAGAACTGGGACTAAACTCTTACCTCAACAAGACTTGAAAAGTCCAGAAGAATAATAAATTGCTACATTAACTCTTCTAGCTTGCTTTATAGAGCAGAAAGCTTTTCTAAGGAGGAAACTTTGAACAACGAAACCTTATATCTTCTAATACCTCACCACATCCAACAGGAAAAAAATTTTTGTTTAATTGTAACTACTGAAACAATGTAAAGTAGTATTTAAAAAGTTAAATAATTTCTCACTCTCTTGGCCAGCCTTATTCCCATCCTGCCTACCCTGAGGCAAACAATGTCAATAACCTATCCTTCTACATCTTTCTCCATGAGCACAAAAACATATACAAGCATGATTACCCACAAATTGTTGTCATGTTCATTTGTTTTTGCTTTCTTAACAGAAATGAGATAACATTATCCTGCAGCTTACTTTTTTCAATTAATATGGTAGATATCTCTTCAAAGGAGTTAAAGGCAATTCATTCTTTTTGATACCAGCTGGATACTTCAAGTACAATCCCTTAATACAGCCCTGTCATTCATACACTAATGGATTCAAGTTGTTTTCACTCTTTTGCCAATATAAACAGAAGCCTAAAAAATCTCATTGAACATACATCCCTACGTATTAGTAGCTTCATTTATTTCAGAGGGATTCCTGGGTAAAAGGGTGGATGTACTGTAAACTTTTGCAAAAGGCTGGATGGAGTTAAGTCACAACTCCAACAACAGGGCCCATTTCCCAGCACCTCCAATCAAGGTGGATACACTTGCAGTACAGCCTGCTGACCTACCTGAAGAAGAAAGAAAGAGTAACAACATGCTTGCTTTAACTTTGCACTTCTCTGATCAGAGGTTAAGTATCTTTTAATATTTTTATTAACCATTTAGATTTCCTTTTCTGTAAATAATCTATATCCTTTGCTCACTGCCCATTTTCTATTAGGTTGTCTGTCACATTCATTTATAGTTTTTTTTCCCCCTCTTTTTTTTTGAGGAAGATTAGCCCTGAGCCAACATCAGCTGCCAATCCTCCTCTTTTTGCTGAGGAAGACTGTCCACTTTACATGTGGGATGCCTACCACAGCATGGCTTGATCAGTGGTGCCATGTCGGCACCCGGGATCTGAACCAGTGAACCCCGGGCCGTCGAAGCGGAATGTGCAAACTTAACTGCTTCGCCACTGGGCTGGCCCCTATAGTTTTGTTTTTTAATTAGAGATACGGGGGGATGGCCCTGTGACACAGTGCTATGTGTCACATGCTATGCTTTGGTGGTCCGGGGTTTTGCCGTTTGGATCCTGGGCACGGACCTAGCACTGCTCATTAGGCCATGCTGAAGTGGTTGCCCCACATGCCACAACTAGAAGGACCCACAACTAAAAATATACGACTATGTACTAGGGGGCTTTGGGGAGAAGAAGGAAAAATAAAATCTTAAAAAAAAAGATACACGAACTTATTGCTTGTTATGTCTAACAAAAATATCTTCCCAGTCTATGTTTTATCTTTTGATAAACCCTTTAACAGTAAATTTTATCTTTCATGATCTTATATTTTTTTACTATAGTTAAAATGTAGCTTTTGGGTTTCCTCTATTGATGAGGTTATACAAATGTCCTCCTAAAATTTCTAATACTTTTATTTATTTATTTAAAGATTGGCATCTGAGCTAACAAACTGTTGCCAATCTTCTTTTTTCCCCCTCAAAGCGTCCCCGACTCCCCCCAGAACATAGTTGTGTATTCTAGCTGTGAGTGACTCTGGTTGTACTATGTGGGACACCATCTCAGCCTGGCCTTATGAGTGGTGCCATGTCAACACCCAGGATCCGAACTGCCAAAACCCTGGGCCACTGAAGCGGAGAGCGTGAACTTAACCACTTCGCCATGGGGCTGGCCCCTTACACTTTTATTTTTTACATTTAATTTATACTCCAACTAAAACCTGTTTTTGTTTATAGTGTGAAGTAGGGCTCTAATATTTTCTTGCAATTATACCTGTTCCATTTACTAAACCATCCTTCTTCCTCTAAACTGAAACACCAGCTTTTTTCCATTCAATAACTTCTCACAAATACTTGGATCTATTTTGTGCCAACTTGTGCTGTTTTAATTATAGAATCTTACTAGAAAAGTTAAGATGAGTAAGGCAAATTTCTCCTTGTTATCGTATTTTCTTTTCATTTTATTTTGTGGCCATTTTCACACCTTTATTCTTATGCAAATAAACTCAATTTTATCCAGTTTCAAAATGAACTGGTATCTTGATTTATACTAATTCAATTGTATTAAATGTTCTGTTATTTTACAAAAGACATAATTTTACCTTAAGGCTTTTCACTGGAATATTATGCCACCACATGTTCAATACTGTGGTACTGTTCTTCAAGAAATTAGCTTTCATGGGGCCAGCTCCATGAGCAAGTGGTTAAAGTTCCATGCACTCTGCTTCAGCAGCCTGAGTTCGAGGGTTCGGATCCCAAGCACAGACCTATTCCACTCATCAGCCATGCTGTGAAGGCATCCCACGTACAAAATTAGAGGAAGATTGGCAGAGATGTTAGCTCAGGGCAAATCTTCCTCACCAAAAAGAAAAAAGTTTTCTTTATAAATTGGCTAGTGCTAATAACGAGAAAAGTTACTAATTTTTATTTATGTATCTTGAATCTAACAACCTTACCAATTTCTTTATGCTATTTTTAAACACTAAAATCTATTTCCTTTCCTACGTATACAACTATATCTGCTAAGATTCAACACAATTATTTACTTTTCTTGTCTTTTCACTTTACTGATAAAGACTCTTCAAAAATGATACTCATAGGTACCTATCATATATATCTGATTTTAATGGAAATGTACACTGAATTTCTCTTTATGTTCTGGATCCTAGTCCTTTCTCAGAAATAGTATTGTGAATATTTTCTTCTGGGCAGTGGCTTGCTTCTTCACTTTTAAAATATCTTTGGATGGGCAGAAATTTTTTATTTTAATGAAATCCAATGTCACAGTTCTATCAATGGCTAGTACTTTATATATCCTGTTTAAGAAAAGTTTGCCTACCTCATGAAGACAATCTCCTTTATTATTATTCTTTTACCTTTCACATCTAGATCTAGAACCTAAATTTATTTTTGTGTATGATATGAAATAGGAGCCGAGGTTCAAACTCATCCACGTGGATATCCAGTGATTTCCATACCATCATTAAAAATGACCTTCTTTTCTTTCCTTCAATTCCTTTGTCAAAAATTAAGTGACCAATATACGTTTAAGTCTATTTCTGACAATGAACACAAGTTCTTTATTTAATGAAGTTTAATTCATCAACAGTTCTCTGTACAGTTAGTGCTTTTCCTATGTCTTATTCAAGAAAGCCTTCCCTATTTAAGGTCATGAAGCTACTCCTATGTTACTTTGTTAAAAGCTTATAGTTTTGCCATTAACATTTATATCTTTAATCCACCTGAAATTGAATTCCATGAATAGTATGAGATAAAGGATCCAGGTTCATGTTTTCATTTGGATACCCAATTGTCCAAGCATCATTAATTAAGAGTTTGTCTTTTCCCAACTCATCCATAGTCATATTTCATAAATGTGTTGGTTCATTTCTGAGCTGTATATTCTATTTCATTAGCCTATTTAATTATTCTGGCATAAACGCCTTCATTACTACAGCTTTTTAAGTCCTAATAACTGGAAGAGCTACTCTGCCCACCTTGCTCTTCAGGATTACAGACCAGTGGTTCTCTTAACTGCAGCATGCAGCAGAGCCACCTGGGGAAAGGCTGCTGTGTGGTCCAAACCCAGAGTTTCCAATCGGTAAGTCTAGTGGACAGTCTGACATTGTGCATTTCCCACACGTCTAGGTGATGCTGCTGCTGATCAAATAAACGATCCAGGACACACTTCATCTTAGCGACTCTAGACCAGAGTGTCAGCTGGCCAACTATTTCATAAAGGGCCAGAAAGTAAATGTTTTAGGCTTGTGGGCCATCCTGGTCTCCACACAAAGCAGGCATAGACAATAAACAAATAGGCATAGTTGTATTCCAATAAAACTCCATAAAAACAGCCAGCAACAGTTTGCCCTCTTCTGCTCTAGATGATTCCAAGTCCTTTAAAACGCCAGACAAACTGCAGAATCAGCTTCTCAAGTTATACCAAAAACTTACTTAAAATTTACTTGGGATTATACTAATTCTACATATTCTATATGTCAGCTTTGACAATGGACAGTTTTTACAAAATTGGATCTTTCCAATCAGATCTCTCAGTATTTAGATTTTCTTTAAACTGCCTCAACAAAGGTTTATAACCTTCTACGTAGAGGTCTTGAACATTTTTTGTTAAGACTGACTCTTAACTTCCTTCATATTATTTTGATTTTTCAATGGTACCTTTTTTTCTTTTGAGAATTTTTAAATTTATTTATTTGCTGAGGAATATTTACCCTGAGCTAAAACCTGTTGTCAATCTTCCTCTTTTTGTATGTGAGCTGTTACCACAGCATGGCCACTGACAGACGAGTGCTATAGATCCACACCTGGGAACTGAACCTGGGCCACCAAAGTGGAGCACACCAAACTTAACCATTAGGCCAACCAGGGATGGCACTCGATGGTACTTTTTAATTTGCATATTTATTAAGAATTTCAAACATGCTCAATAGTAGTATAATGAATCTTCATATCCACCACCTAGAATCCAAAACCATTAAACCATAGCCAATCAACCATCAACTTCTCCCTTTCCTGTACTTTGTTGAAGCAAATCCCAAGAACCCATCATTTAATAGAT